AACTACTTGCAGCTCATCTGCACCCCATGCTCCGCTAACCTACTCACCATCCCCAGCAATGCTTGTGCTCTCCATCTCCACTGGGAAACACCACCCTGCTGAGCTCAGCTCAAAGACTGCACTCTATCCAGTGTCCCTGACCCCAGCTAGAGAAAGCTCTTCCTCCAGGAATTCCCACAGCACTCATCTATACCCCTGCAATGTCCAAAGGGGTTGGGTAGGACTTAGCCTGCTGCAAAGCCATGTGAGGTTGGCTATGTTTTAATGTGCAGAGACCTGGAGCATCCTTGCACCATTCAGCCAAGATGATGCAGGGAAGGTGTTTTGCATAGCAGCCTGCAGAGTTTGTAAAAGCGACTCAAGTTCCAGCCAGATACAAGTATAGCGAACACCTGGTTGACAGAGTTAAACAGAAGCTACCCTACAAGTGGAACAACAGACCAAATAGAGAGCCATGTGTCACAAGAAACAACAGACCAGAGCCCTTACAAGTTTGCTCCTTGGGCATTGCAGTACTTGAAGAAAATCGGAGGAAATACACAGTGTGGATTAAGCATACAGTAAGGAGGTCACAATCCAGAACCACAAACGAAATCCCAAAATAACTTTGCAAATAGATAAGGCTATGATAAACCACTAAAAAGTCCTGGCCAATTAACAACTACAGTAAAGTTGCAGGGTATGGAATCAACTTACAAAAATCAGTTGCTTTTCTATACTCCAATAATGAACTTACAGAAAGAGAACTCAAGAATACATTTCCATTTGCAATCACAACTAAAAGAATAAAGTACCTAGGAATAAATGTAACCAAGGAGGAGAAGGACTTATACAATGAAAACTATAAGACATTACTGAGAGAAACTGATAATGACATAAAGAGATGGAAAGAGATTCCTTGTTCATGGATTGGAAGAATAAACAGTTAAAATGTCCATGCTACCCAAAGCAGTCTACAGACTCAACGCAATCCCAGTCAGAATCCCAATGACATTCTTCATGGAAATAGAGCAAAGAATCCTAAAATTCATAGGGGGCAACCAAAGACCCCGAATTGCTGGGGCAATCCTGAGAAAAAAGAACAAAGCTGGAGGTATCACGATCTATGACTTCAAAATGTACTACAAAGCCATAGTGATCATAACGGCATGGTACTGGTACAAAACAGACACACAGATCAATGGAACAGAACTGAACGCCCAGAAAAAAATCTACACATCTATGAACAGCTAATCTTCTAAAAAAGTGCCAAGAACATACAGTGGAGAAAAGATAGTCTCTTCAATAAATGTTATTGGGAAAACTGGACAACCACATGCAAAAGAATGAAGGTAGACCACTATCTCATGCCATACACAAAAATAAACTCAAAATGGATCAAAGACTTGAAGATACGTCCTGAAACTAATAAAACTCCTGGAAGATAATATCAGTGGTACATTCTTTGACATCGAACTAAAAAGGATCTTTTCAAATACCATGTCCTCTCAGACAAGGGAAATAAAAGAAAAAATAAACAAGTGGGAGTTCATCAGACTAAAGAGCTTCTGCAAGGCAAAAGAAACTAGAATCAAAACAAAGCGACAACCCACCAATTGGGAGAAAATATTTGTAAATCATATATCTGACAAGGGGTTAATCTCCATAATATATAAAGAACTCACATAACTGAACAACAAAAAAACAAACAACCCAATAAAAAAAATGGGCAGAGGAGATGAACAGACATTCTTCCAAAGAAGATATACAGATGGCCAATAAGCACATGAAAAGATGTTCAACATCACTAATCATCAGGGAAATGCAAATCAAAACTACACTAAGATACCACCTTACACCTGTTAAAATGGCTATAATCACTAAGACTAAAAATAACAAATGTTGGAGAGGGTGTGGAGAGAAGGAAACACTCATACACTGCTGGTGAGAATGCAGACTGGTGCAGCTACTGTGGAATACAGTATGGAGATTCCTAAATAGAACTACCATATGACCCAGCTATCTCACTACTGGGTATCTACCCAAACAACTTGAAATCAACAATCCAAAGTAACATATGTACCCCTATGTTCACTGCAGCACTATTCACAATAGCCAAGACATGGAAGGAACCCAAGTGCCCATCAACCGATGATTGGATAAAGAAGATGTGGCATATATATACAAGGGGATACTACTCAGCCATAAAAAAGATCAATTCATCCCATTTGCAATAACATGGAAGGACCTAGAGGGAATTATGCTAAGCAAAATAAGCCTGTCTGAGAAAGACAAACACCAGATGATTTCACTCATATGTGGAATATAAACAAACACACGGACAAAGAAAAGAGTTCAGTGGTTACCAAGGGAAGGGGGGGTGGGGGGTGGACACAGGGGGTGAAGGGGAGCACTTAGGTGGTGACAGACAAGAAATAATGCACAACTGAAATCTCACATTGATGTAACCTATTATGAACTCAATAAAAAAATTTTTAATATATTAAAAAATAGCAAAAGAAATACAGCCTTTACACACTAAAATTAATTAATTAATTAATTAAAAGTTCTGGCCAACAGAACTATGATCATTTATGTGATAAACCTGAGTAGACAGTGAGGGTTAAAAACAGATTGTGCCTCTGATTAGAGTAAAACTCTACACAGAGAAAGGAAATAAACACGTAAACCTAGTAAGAAATTGAAGCAAAGGATGGAAATTGAGTAACATATTTAAAGTAGTTTGTCTTTGTAACTAGGATGGTTCTAATATATATCTTGTTGTCATGTTAAGGAATAAACAATTTTGTTTATTAAGCCACAATTTACTAAGGAACAAATCATTTTATTCCTGCGTATCCATGTCTTTATAGCCACCTGTCTGTTTCCCCAGACATGTCAAGCCCGCAGGGTGGTGCAGCTTCAGTCTTCTCTTCTCCGACACATTTCAATACCAATCAGATGCTTTTAAAGTACCCAACCTTTACGGGGTTCTGGAAGCAATACGTCCATGTGTATTTTTTCAAACTCATTTGAATGTAATAACAAATAAAAAGTTTCTTCAGTCCTGCAAAGGTTGGAAATTGATATAAACATAAGAGTCAACAAACTTTTTCTGCAAAGGACCAGTGATTAAACATTTCCGGCTGTGTAGGCTGTGCAATCTCTTTGCCCTCCTCACTCTGCCCTAGTGGCAGGAGGGCTGCACAGGCAGAGGTGACCGAATGGACGTGGCTGTATGCCAATAACTTCTCTACACAGAACAGCAGCAGCTTGCCAACCTGGCCTAAACCGTAAAGATCAAACAACTTTGCCTGAAAATATTAACTAGAACTCCTTTAGTGTCGAGCCGCAGGACAGTGGCTCTCACCCCTCACAGTAAAAAGTACTGAGACTCGGACTCCCACACCCCAGGATGCTCTCCTCCTCCATCCTCCCATCCTCTCTGCCCCTCCAATGGCTGCATCGTCTTTCTCTCTTTGCTGGTTCCCTGGAGCACAGTGAGGAAGCACGGCCCTTGGCCCTTGGGAGCAACCCACGTCACATTTCCCCGCACCACTCAGCAGAGAGGACTCAGGGCACCCGCCGCCCAGAGCCCAGTCTGAACCAGCCAGCTGGGCCGGGAGGAAGTGAGTACACATTGCAGTGGCCCTGGTAACTGTGTGGGTGGCGGGACAGCACAACATGCCCACACAATGACACAGTTTTCTTTAAAACTTTTCCTGTTCTTCAGTCACCAAACATTTATGCATTCTCTCCTAAATGCTAGGCACTGCATAGAGAGCAGTGAGCAGGTTAGCAGAGGCCCTGCCCTCATCTTGGGGAACACAGAACCTCAACTGGAAACAAGCTCCACACAAACAGCAAAAACAACACATATGTCCAAATCTCCTGCCTGGACACCCACTGCCCCTCCCACACTCACCCACCCCTGTCCCCACCACAGAACACACAAGCTGGCCATCCCCTCACTGTGCAGACAAGGGCAACTCACAATGGTGGTGCTCATTCCCCTGCACCCTCCCTCCCCGTCAGTGCCACATGGTAGACACAGTATTTATCTCTCATTTACATCTGGACCATCATTCACTCAAAAAGTGTTTGGTGAATAGGAAATGAATGAGGAAAAATGAGCAAATCCAATGTCAAAGATTACGATTCTATTTATCTTTATCTTTAGCCTCAACAGAAGTATAGCCACATGTCAGATCATCATAATAAAAGGCACAAACAGGCCCCATATTGTCAATGTATTAAAAACCAAAAATCATAGCTCCTGCGTGCAATGAATATATTATATAAGGCCACCCTACAGCGTGAGTGCTCCCCCTTCTGCAGGAGGGCAGCAGCCACCTTTCACAGGCACCTACTCCTGGTAGTCTATCACAGTCTCGGAACGCAGGCCTGTCTGCAGAGAGTAAGGAATAGAGTCTCCAATCTCTTCATCAACTGCTGTGCTCAGGGCCCACTTTGGGAAAACACAGAAGATGACCTGAGTTAATCTGCACTCCCTACGACACCCCCTCACTGCCACTTTCACTCCATTCCAGAAAAACAACAAACAAAGCACACGACACCGTGACCTGGCAACCAGCATGGTGGCTTGCATAGCTAACATCTAATTAAGTTTTTAGTAAGGAAATTTTCAAACATACTGTACAAAAAAGTAGGGCAGACAATACAATGCTGTTCATGTATCCATCAACCCAGTGCAATAATTATTCTACCTGCCCACCTGTCTCCTCCTGTCCCCCACCACTCTTCTGGGAGGGGTTGGAATAATTTAAAGAAAATCTAACACTGTATGGTATGTGTGTCTAACAGATTAGAGCTTTTAAACAGTATCATCACAAACCCATTATCATACATAGCAAAATTAATAATAGTTCTTTAATAATTTTCTAATGCCCAGTGTTAAATTTTCCCCAACTGACTTTTAAAAATATCATCTTGCAGTTGATTTGTTCGACTCAAGAACCAAACAAGATCCATACGTTTTATATAGTAATGTACACAGTGGATGGACTAAATAATATTTATTGTTTTAATATGAACCAGACGAACTCTAACAGATTGTGATGAGTTTTCTGAATCCCTTCGCTAAATCTTCACTTCATAAAGCCTTCCTTAGCTGTTCTGCAAAAAGTCCAGCCTCTGTCATTTTTTTCCTAATTCTGCTTCCCACCTAACTCTGGCAGAACGTTTCTGGAACCACCAAAGAGGAAGAAACCCTGCTACCTCAGCATCTCTAGCACAACATCATCGGATTCCTCCTATAGGGGGTCTCCCCACACCAGCCTAGAGCAACGTCACAGAACCTATAGATAAAGGTGCTGAAGCGGGGCCGGGGGAGCCAGCGAGCAGCACCGCAGTTATTACATCACGACGGCATCCACTCTAGAACCTCCCTTCTCCAAGGTGTTAAATCTAGTCTCCCAGGGAATTACGATAAAAACAGGAAAAATCATGTTTTTAATCCTCTGGAGTGTTTTATTCACATCCTGAATTCTCACAGCAAGGTCAAAACTTCACGTGTCTGTGACTGAATTTCTTCCATCTGGAAGTGTTCCAATTCTCCTCTGAGTCTGCGTAGATGGATTTTTACACCTTCTCTTGAGTTTTAGAAATTAGAACTTTGAAGAAGTGGTTGAAGAACAAGGTGAAAGGGCCTTGAGGGAAGTTAGTTCTGTGTCTCCTGCGCACTTTCCTTCAGATGAGACGCCATCTCTAAACACAGAATAAAACAAACCTTACTAAACATTAAAATACTCTTCCAGTGAGTCTCCGCGAGTCTGTGCCAGCCTGTGCTTTCCACCTCCTGTCCCTCCAGGTTCTGGCAACCCTCCCTCCCCTGAGGCCCAGTGGTACTCACAGCACAGCTCCCAGGCCAACTGGCCAGAAATGTCAGGGCACTCCTGTGGGAAACCTGCGGTGCTTAGAAAACTGATGCCCGGGCCTCACCCCCTAATTCTGATTTAATTGACTAGCGTGAGGCCTGAGCTTTGGGGTTTTCAAAAGCTCCTGATGGTTGTAACAGTCTCCTGCACACACCACCAACTCCACGATGGCCTGAGGGTGACTGCGGGAGCCACAGCGGGTACCAGCAGCTCATGCTCTCATCCAATCCTCCCAACAATTCTGCAACAGGAATCGTTTGCCCCCACTCTCCACATGAGGAAACTGAGGCTCGGAGCAGTTAACTATCTGGCAGACTTGGGAGTCAAGCGCAGATCTCACTAAATTCCAAGCCTGGGTCCTTGATAACACCAGGTTGTGCCAATTCCCCACTCACAATTCCGAATGAGGAGGGGTTCATGTTCATGTATCCATCAACCCAGTGCAATTATTCCACCTGCCCAACTGTCTCCCCTCTGCCCCCACCACCCTTCTGGGAGGGGTAGGAATAATTAAAGAAAATCTAGGGGCTGGCCCCGTGGCCGAGTGGTTAAGTTCTCGCACTCCGCTGCAGGCGGCCTGGTGTTTCATCGGTTCAAATCCTGGGCGCGGACATGGCACTGTTCATCAGACCACACTGAGGCAGTGTCCCACAGGCCACAACTAGAAGGACCCACAACTGAGAATGTGCAACTATGTACTGGGGGGCTTTGGGGAGAAAAAGGAAAAAAATAAAATCTTTAAAAAAAAAAAAGAAAAGACAATCTAATACACTGTATTTTATGTGTGTCTAACAGACGAGGGCTCTCACCACCTCTTGTCCTAGCAGCCAGCTCCTATCCGCCAGAGCTGGCATGGAGTGAATCCACCACATGTCTTTGTCAACTGGGTAGTGGCACTGCCCTTAGGCCTCAGGGTCACACAAGAGTTGTACAATGTTCAAAGGCAGGCTTTCCAGCTCAGAGAGGACAAGCAGACAAGTTGGGCAGGGAGCATTGCTAGAAAAATAGGAATGGGGATAGGCAAAAGAGGGCAGCAACCACAGGGACATGGAGTTAGGCTACTGTCTGGCGACACATAGGACCTGGGTCTGGCTGCCCTATTCTGGACTTACCCCACATCCAGGGTGACCAGGACTTTGGAGACCATGCATTACTATGTCTCCACTTTCCAGGGGACAGACAGAGGGAGATAACTTGTCTGAGGTACCCAGGGCCACAGCAGTGTCCGGACAGGAACCCAGAATCCCCTGTGGCCCTGGGTGAATGGCTGCAGGGGCCATGGAGAGGACCCCTCGCTCTGACCTGCCCCTGCCTGCCTGGCCCACACAGCGATGCAAAGACCACTGCTCAGTTGGATTATTGTCATTTCTCTTTCTCCCTCTTTTTCCTGAGGGCCACACACAAAGGACTCAGAGAACAGCACAGCGGGTATTCTCAGGACCACGCTAAATGAAGTCCAGCTGCCTGGTGGCTCTGCTACCAGTGCAGCAGACTGTCCATGCCGTGGCTCTGGGCCTCCCGCCATTTCTCCATCACAGAACCATGGACAAGGAAACTGAACTCCAGGGGCACAGCACCTCCTTAGTGACCTTGGACTGACTTGTCCCAGATTACCAGTCCATGCCCTTTCTCCGGCAGAAGAGCATAAGAGGGTCATCTATACATCCGGGTGTCTAGACATGAAAGTTCATCAGTCAACCCAGCATGAGTGGTGCCGCTCCCCAAAATTGTCCTGGAAGGTCCCTGGGGAATGTCAAGGCAGCACCCCAGCTCCCTCCCAACTGTGTACTCCAAGGCATGCTCTGATGCTGAGGACAGGAATGTCCACCCACCTCCAGTGTAAAGACTGGATAAAAATTTATAAGAGCAGACAGTAGTTCCCGCAGCACTTCTGAGGGCAGAGTGTTTCAGGTATTATAGAGAAACATTCTCCCTATGCAAGGTGGCAGTGAAGGAAGAGAGAAAGTCAACTTCTCCCCATAAAGTTGGTTAGGAAGAATCTCCTTGTAGAGATGCAAACCCATGACCTCACAGACTAACTTCCTCATACCCCAGAACCTGTTGCCAAGAAACAATAGTACTTTCTTTTACAAGGGGAGGTCTGCCCAAAGGTTGTATGGCTCCATTTAAGGTAAGAAAGTGACCTCATAAAGAAGCATAAGGGAAACCTCAAATTTCCAAATTCCCAGTTTTTGATAACTTTCTTCCTGGTTACATGAGCAATAAAATCTTACAGCATAAAATTGGAGCGTGCAGAGAAACATGAAGAAAGAAATCATTATAGACGTATTTTCTTCTAAGGTTTCTCTTTGTATAATTATTTTTAAACACAGTTGAGTTCATTCTGCAGTCTCAGTCTGTCACCTGCCTTTTCTTCCATCAGGAGGATTTCCTGACCACTAAAAGCTCTTCATGACCATCTCCAGAGGCTGCTGCACCACAGCGGATTTGACCAATCTCTGCTACTATTAGTCACATAAGTTGTTTTAGTTTTTCCACACTATAAAGAAAGGTGATAAACATCTTTATATGATATTTTCATCACTCCTTTATTTCAACACTTCTTTAGGGTAGATTCCTAAAGTATGAGTTACTGAGTTTAAAGGGTATTAGCATATTTAGGACTTTCAAGAAAAACAACTTATTCTCACTATAGTAGCACACAAGTTCTGTCTTACTAGAGCACCAAGCACCTGAGTGAAAATCTTTCCTAATTTGATAGAATAGCTTTAGTGTTTCCATTTGCATTTCTACTCATTATTTATGGATCCTTTTTGCTTCTCCCATATGACTCATTCACATCCTTTGCCTCTCTCTCCTTTCTACATCCACACAGCAGGGCACCTGACCAGGAACACCTGCCCCCAAGCCTTAACCACAACCCTCCCCATATTTCTCCAAACACAAAGCATATTGTTAGGCTCTTTCTGCAGGAGCTTGGGTGTGCTTGTTTATCCCAGGAAGTCACCTCTCAAACATGATGCAGTTCCTCACACACAGCAACTTGGTGCCCCTGTCACGGCAGGCCTATGAAGACCTCAGATCCCCTCACAGCAGAGACCAACCAGACCATGCTCCTCAATACGCAAATAGGAAAATGGAGGTCCAAGAGAGATGAACTCATAATCTCCTTCCTCCATCTTTTCTCATTTTCTCACATCCACCCATCATCACTATCATCAGCATCATCAGCATCATCATCATCATCATGGCCATCATCACCGTCACTGTTATCATTGTCATCACCATCATCATCGTTACCATTATTATCATTGTCATCATCATCAACATGGCCATTATCATCACCATCCTTGTCATCACCATCATCATCACTGTCATCATCACCATCCTTGTCATCAGCATCATCACTGTCATCATCACCATCATCATCACCATTATCCCCATTACTGTCATCATCATCATCACTACCATCACCATCAACATCATGGCCATCATCATCACCATTGTCACCATGATCATCATCATAACCATCATCACCATCATCATGGCCATCATTATCATCACCATGATCATCATCACCATCATAGTGTCACCATCATCATCATAATCATCATCATCACCTCATCACTATCACCATTATTACTATCATCACCATCACCATGGCCATCATCATTGTCACCATCATCATCATCATCATCATCTGCTGTAATCATCATTATCATCATCATCACCATCATCAGCATCATCATCACCATCAATATCATTATCATCACTGTCACTGTCATCACCATCATCATGACCATCATCATCATCATAGTTGCTGTGCCATTTATTAAATAGTACCTTTGTGCTGGGTTCTATGCCAGACCCTTTATGCTCATTATCACTAACCTTCAGATAAATAATATTATCCCCATTTTAGACACAAAGAAGTTGAAGTTCAGAGAGGTTGAGTAACTTGCTTAGGATAACACAGCTATCTAGAGAGGCTGTAGAGTAGCTCAGATTATAGACTGATACAAATTCCAAATCCAGCACTAACTAGCTCTGTGATGATGGGCAGTTCCTAAATCATCCTGGGCCTCCTCTCCTATCATGGGACGACACTAAGAGTGCCCACCTCCAAGAGGTTTTGTGAAGAGACACCATGGTGTCCCTACAGCCTTCAAAATCCAGCCCTCTCAAGGTCCTTCACAATTTCCTCCTCTTCCCTGAGCCTATCTTGATTCTCACACTGATGTCACTTCTGTCCCTCCCTTCCTTACCCCTTGAATCTTTTCTTGGTGGTTCTCTCATGACCTCCCTTATGCCATCTCACATACAAGTCATTTGTGTGCTGCTTTATCCCTTCATTAGCCAGGAGCTCATTGTGGGCATTTTTCATTATAATAGCAGTTTTACCTAACAGTTGCCAGGTACTGCACTCAACATTTTACTTGCAATATCACATTTCACTGTCATAAAAGGAGGTATTATTATTATTATACCACTCTATAGACAAGCAAACTTTGGCTTAGAAAGAGTTAGTACTTGTGAGTTCCCAGAAGACTGGATTCTCACAGTCATATTTGGCTGACTCCAGGGCACACGGTCTTTCCCAAGTCATTCTATATCTCCGCCCTAAACACTGCCCTAAACATACGCATCCAACAGCCTCCA